AAAATATAAATTTCAGCATGCTTAGCGTTTAATTTTTCCATAATGCACGATTTTGAATAGAGATATAGGATAATATGGAATGTGTAGTATAAACACCTATAGCTTATTTTCTTTTCATATAGCTTTACAGAACATTGCAGCTTAACTTATATTACAATACCTACGAGAAATTCACGAGTTAGTCAAAGTTGTAGGTAATGATGTGATATAAAACGATGAGTGACATAGTTTTTTACTTTATTTCAAATCGGGATTTCTTCTTGGAAATGCAATGCCAGTAAATTTTTTCGTGTGAGTTTCTTGATTGATGATGTAACAACCAGATAAAAGTAAGTATTAACAGCGAAGCATTTAGCTTCAAGACTGTCTTATAAATGTTGGCATGCTTGTCATAGGACTACAGAACGACCGCATATTTCTTAAAACTTCTACATCAATAAGAGATCTTAGCCATTATTAGACATGAATATGTGCTGTATTGAGGATGAAAAAGATGAGAGATAGGCTCAGTGTTATTCTATCTTAATTAAAGGATCAAATGACTCGCAAATCTAATTTAAAGACTATTATGTGGAGACAAATAGCGTGCATATTTGACTACCATGATGTTTGTACAAAAGACATTTTAAAAGACAAGTTTAAAAGAAAAGGTGGGACTGGCATAAACGGTGCTCTCAGAATTGTGTACAATATTTTACTCAACAGAATCAAAATCGCTAAATATCAAAAATATTTAACGCCAATTAAAACAAATAACAAGAATGGCAACGAGATTAGAAATAATAGAACGATAATTAGATAACAAGGCAAAACAGATAAACAAACACACACACACCGATGACTCCTAGCCGAATTCTCTTCCTTTGCGTTAGGATACCCGGGCCCGTGACCTGCCTTCTGCGCTGGAGTTCTTCCGCGTGGCCTAAAAGTAGTTAATCCAGCCGAGTTATAAAAGAGCCCCGCAATACCACCGCCTCCACAACGAGCAGCTAGCCCAGCCAAACCAGGGCAGAGCCGAATCCGGCCATTTGGAGCCACAAAGTCGTCAGTCCACACCAGTCCACTGGGAGCCAGGTTGAGTCGGAACAGTTGAATAAGGCAGTCAATCAAGGAGCGCCATCCATCCCGGATACCATCAGCATACCGACCAGCCAGATGAAAGACCAGCCCAGCAGCCAAGCGCGCCTTGACGTTGCGCCCCAGCGAGACTGCAAGGCTAATGTCAGTCGTCTGTTGAAAGAAACGTCAACCGAAATACGAAAAGTCTATTTAGATAACTAGAGAAAAAATTATGCAGTATGCTGGCCCTCGGTTTTATGTTTATGTTGAGGATTAAACATATGAGTAAATACTAAGTGGCCGAATAAAACTCGAGGGATCGATCCTGACGAATAGTGAAGCTAGTAAAAATAATCTCCGTTTTTAAGTAATTAAACTAATATTTCGTAGCAGTAATTGATCTGACTTGGCTGTCTGTAAATATATAAATTATAAAGATCTATTTGACTCTGTAGAACATAAATCACTAAATTAGCATTAGAAAAAAGACAATTCAAATTTTTCACAATTTTACCTCTCCAGCTGTGAGAAGAGAGGTGAATTTGCAGAGTGAAATAACTAGGTTATCAAGGACATCGGTGAGGCCATAATGGGCAGCAATACCGGCGCAGCGTGTGAAGCCGGACATTGCTCGTGCCTGCAGTCCACAGTCCGAGGTCGCTTTATCGAAGATAAAGCAGAGAGCTGAAACTGTCGGACCCCAGATAAGATTGAACAGGTCAGCGTTCAGATCGCCAGGATGACAATACGTGAAGGTCGAGTGCTTCAGGTTGTTACAGCGACGAAGAAGGCACTAGAAGCACAGCATCAAGCCAAAGTATAATGATTATCAGTGGACACAAGAAAGCCTGGGAAAAGGTTTGAATCAACCATAAGAAGAATATTTTTTTAAAGAATCAACTTATTTAGACTGTATCAATCATTCAGAAAAATTGAGTCAGAGCAATCAAAGGGAGAAATGTAAATAAATCCACAATTAAATGAAGAAACAAGTCAGTTTGAGCATTTATATCATATTTTGGTGGAATACCATGATTTTCACAAAGGTGTAATTCATTTTTTATATAAATACCTCATTTGGATTATATGAATAGAAAATTGACATAATAAATTGTAACTGATACTTGGGCACCATTCTACAAGACTTCGACGGTACAAACTATTCCTTAATATGAAGATATCTGCTTAAAATATCACAATAACAACATCCAAAAAGTAGCCAGTGTCATACTGAGCAGGAAGTAAAAATAAATTCAAGCCATGGTAATCAGCCGGATAGCGAATAGGAATTGAAATAAGTATAAAATACAATGACAAACTGGGTTTTGATGGATCTCCTGAGATAACATCGTTGGGTGGACTTTCATTTCGTATGAAAGTGCATGAAGA